GGTATCTCAAGCTAAGCAGAGTAGCCCTAAAATCTGGTAGCTTTTAATCTCATGTATTTCTGAATTTGACTATTGTAGTGGTCTGAATATGTTTGGCCCAGGGAGTGGCATTTTTAGGAGATGTGGCCTTGGTAGAAGAACCGTGTCATTGTGGGCATGGGGTTTAAGACCCTCATCCTAGCTACCTGGAAGCCAATCTACTCCGGCCAGCCTTAAGATGAAGATGTAGAACTCTTAACTCCTCCTGCACCATGACTGCCTGGATGTTGCCATGTTCATGCCTTGATGATAACGGCTTGAACATCTTTGAAGCTGTAAGCCAGCCCCAACTAAATGTTGTCCTTATAAGAGTTTCCTTTGTCATAGTGTCTCTTCACAGCAATGCAAACTGTGACTAAGACAACTATGACCTGAGACCTTATGACTCTGGCTGGGAACACTACCCATAAACAACCTAAAGCATGCACTTCCAAACTACTGTGGTATTCCATAGCATACAGCCAAGCACTCAGGTCTTCGTCTAATTGTATATCTCAAGTATCGTGCTCTTCAACACATATAATACACTTTTCAGTATCAGCACAACAGGTGACTCATTCATATCATTCAGCAGTTCTTTACAGCACACAAAGTAAGAATTCAAATATTCCATGATGTAAGAAAATACACACAGTGGCTGGAAAGATGGCTCACTGGTTAAGAGCACTGGTTGATCTTCCAAAGTACTGGGTTCAATTCCAAGCATCTACATGGCAGCTCACAGCTCTTTATAACTCCTGTTCCAGAGGATTTGACTCCCTCACACATATAGGCAAAATACCAGTGCACATAAAATAAAAAATAAATAAGTTATATTAAAAAATAAACATAATGGCCAATTCAGCTTTGGACCTAAAGTTCCATCTTTTCTAATAAGTAGTATGTGATCCCTTCACAGTGTGACATTTGTCTTGGTGTGAGGTCATAGATTACACTGGTCTTCCATCTGCTACTACTTGCATTCTTCATCCTAGCTCTCAGACAAATGAGAGCCCCCATTTTCCTCTGATACAGTACATATTGGGAATGGCTTTTCTATGTCCTTCCAAAGATACTACTCATTTTCTTTTCTTCAATACAGCTCAATTACTGCCAAATGGGACTCCAGTTCATGCTTTGGTTAATTATCTAAAAGCTACACTGAATTTAGCTGGATTTTAAACAAACTGGCTCAGTCAGTTTGGATTTGTACAAAGTCCTTTACAACAAGTAAAGCACTTTTTATGTAAGCATGAGAAACTGAGTTAGCTTTCCAGAATGCATGTTTAAAAAAATTTGGGCATGGCTGTGCATGTCTATAATAATAGTACTAGAAAGACAGAAACAGGTATTTCCTTAGGCTCGCTGGCAATTATATTCAGTTGAATCTGTGAGCTCCATATTCAGAAAGATAACAGAATCTGAAAACATTAAGTGGATATAAACTGCGGAAGACACCCAGCACTGACAGACTGCTGTCTTCTATAAGAAAAGATACACATGCACACACTCATATGTACACACAGGGTACACAGAGAAGGAAGGGGGAGGGGAGAGAGAGGGAAGGAGAGAGAGGGACGGGAGGGGAGGGAGGGAGGGAAGGAGGGAGGGAGGGGGAGAGGGAGAGAGAGAGATGCACCGTGTTTACTAACTCAACACAAACATACAAGTACATGACCCCTTAATACAGTTCCTCATATTATAATAACCGCAAACCATAGAATTATTTTCATTGCTACTTCATGACTAATTTTGCTACTGAACAGTGTCTCAGTTCCTGAGACCAATGGAAATATGTGTTTACCAATGGCCATGACCCACAGAACTGCTACTATATACATGCATACACATATATAAAACCAGCAGAAATTTTCTTCCTCTTAATAATGTGTAAAAAGAACAAAACCCAACTGATACTGTTTTCTCAACACATATAGAAATATCCAACCAAGTACATACTATTACTAAAATCTGGGCATGTTCAGAGTACTGCTGTTTTTTCCGCACCAGAAAAAGTATCAAAATATCCTGATATTATTTTTGCAAAACACAAAATGATGTTTCAAAAAGCATAATATTCAAGAAAACATTTTACGGAGATACAGGAAATTGTGGGTTTTTTTTTTCATTAATTCAAGTTCACTCATAGTGTTTTATAGCCAAGTGATGTCTTACTTGAATTTAGATAGAGTGATATTTTCCCTTTTGAGGATTACTTCTTGGGCAATTTCAGTATCCTGGAGTAGAGACTAGAAGCCAAGATAGAAAATTTTAAAAAATGAGTCCTCATGAGCATTCAAAGTAGAAGCAATAGACCTGTGCACTGAACTTACTAGCTTTTTCCAAGAAGTTAATATACATATTAATGTATACATCAATCATACTCCAATTCCCTAAGGTCATTAAATAAAAAAATATAATATTGTCAAAACAACAAATGTGTACTGGTTAGTTTTATGTCAACATGACACAAGCTAGAATCATTGGAAAGGGAGGGACCTCAATTGAGATAATGCCCCCATAAGATATGGCTGTAAAAAATTCTTAATTAGTGATTGACAGGGAAAAGCCCTGTTCATTTCAGATGTTCCCATCCTTGGGCTGGTGGTAGTTGGTTATATAAGAATACATACTTGCTGAGTAACCAGCACCCCTCCGTGGCCTCTGCATCAGCTCCTGACTTCAGAATCCTGCCCTGTCTGAGTTCCTGTCCTAACTTCCTTCAATGATGAACAGTGATGTGGAAGTATAAGCCAAATTAACCCTTTCCTTCTTAACTTGCTTTTGGTCACAGAGTTTCCTTGTCGCAAGATTATCCCGAATTAGGGTTAAATATTATAAGCTCTATATAATACAATTTGGGAAATTAGGTTTCAACAAAATATAAGATAGTATACTCTAACATGGCCATACTTTCTCTTGGCAGTAGCAGGCCCTTAGATCTAAACTGCCATTCTACCGGGAGGTCTTGAGAATGAATATCCAAGTTCAGATCCACAGTGATAATTAAAGATTTCATTATGAGGAATGGTTTACTGACTTGAAGCCAACCATTACTGATGCTTTTATGGAGCACAGTCTTAGGGAAGAAGAGGAAATTGAGCCCATAAAGTAATACAATTCAAGGCTTGGCAACAGCTTTCTCATTTTGGATGCTAAAACTGTGTTTCTGTATTTGTCACTTAATTTCTTATATTCCCATTTGTGTTCTCCCAAGATTATTTATAGTTTCTCAAAACTCTACCACCTTATGAAATGATGATTAGGAGAGATACCTATAACAGAATAGAGTGTAGGTTAACACAGTTTGAATTGTTATTCTTCTGGCATAGGAACTGGTTCTGTGGCTATCACAAATACTTGACAGATGTAAGAGGTCCATTTTAAAAAATTCTCTCATATATACATCACACTCTCCCTTTCCCTCTTTCTTTTCCCAGACCTTCTCTCCCAGATTAACCACTCCTCCTTTCCTTAAAAAAGGGTCAAGCTTCCCAAGACTATCAATGAAACATGGCATAAGTTATAAGGCTAGACATATCCCCTTATATTAAGGCTGGACAAGGCAACCAAGTATGGGAAAAAGGGTTCCAAAAGCAGGCAGAACAGTTAGAGATAGTCCCTGCTTCCACCCTTTAGCACTCCCATAAAAAGTCTAAGCTACCCAACCATAGCATATATCAGTGGACATGAGTCAGTCCCATACAGGCCTTTTGGTTGTTGATTCAGTCTCTGTGAGCCTCTATGAGCCCTGGTTAGTTGATTCTGTAGTCCATTTTCTCATGGTGTCCTTAACCTATCTAGCTCCTAAAACTCTTCCTCACCCTCTTCTGAAGGATTCCCTGAGCTACTCCTAATGTTTGCCTGTGGATCTCTGCACTGTTCCTATCAGTTGCTGGATAAAGCCTGATAATGATCATGCTAGGCTCCAGTCTATGAGGACAGCAGAGTATCATTAGGAATCATTTCATTGACTTTTTTCTGGTCATGTTTAGATCTATCCAAGGTTTCTGAGCTATCCATATTCTGGTTCCTAGACCCAGGCAGTATCAAGAGTGGGTTCCTTCTCATGGCATGGCTTTCAAGTTGGACCAGTCATTGGTTGGCCACTACACTTAAACAAATATTCAACATCCTTAGCCATTAGGGAAATGCAAATCAAAATGACTGAGATTCCACTTAACACCTATCAGAATAGTTAAGGTCAGAAACACAAATCACAACTCATGGTGGCGAGGTTGTGAAGCAAGGAGAAACACTCCTTTGCTGGTGAGAGTGCAAACTACTACAGCCACTTTCAAAATTGACATGTTGGTTTCTTAGAAAATTGGGGATGATCTATCTCAAGACCCAGCTATCTCCATTTTTATATGGACTATCAACCAGGTTCATGCAGAGGAGTAGAGAAATGTACATTATTTGGAACAAAATGGTAAAGTCCTAATCATACTTAATTTTGCAACTACCATTTTATAGGACATAATCATGGGTAATCAGGAGGGTAGTCTTCCGATAGTAGGAGGATACATGTTCTACTACTGACTTGGGAAAAAAACAGATGTTCTATACTTGACTATATACCCAATAATTGTAAATGCTGAGGACTGGAAACTCAGAGAAACCTTTTCCATCACACAGGGAAAAAAATGGGCACTGTCCTTATAAAAGTAAAGAGATGCCTTCAGTTGCCAATTTAAATAAGCTTTGAGAAAGAGCCCAAGTTCTGGGTGCTAAGGCAGTCTAGATGACTTAAGAGACCCTGAATAATGTCCTCATTCTCTGGCTCAATGACTGTGGGATAACAAGTAATTGTTTAGGCACTGGAAGTGAAGCTGTTTCCTTCAAAGCAAGGAACTCTCAATGTGGGAGAGAATTCTGGTGCTTCACTCTTGCATCCTATGTTCTTACAGTTCAATATATCCTAAAGGAAGGTATGATCCATGCAGGAAATTCACATTCTTTTAAAAATTGTAATTGAGTGCTTGCTTTGCAAGCATATATATTAAAATTAGACAAATATGGAGAAAATTAGCATGGCCCCTACATAAGGATAACATGCAAATTCTTGAAACACTCCATATTTGTGTCGATGTGATCAACACTAACAAAAAGTAAAAATTTGTTCTAACAACAAAGCACATGCAAAAAAAAAAATCCCTCAAAGTACTAGCTATAATAACTTAAATCTTAAAAAACAACTTAAATTTGATTTTAACTTAAGTTAAGTAAAGACTATTAATGTACTTTACCAATGTTTATACCTATTGGATTTCTATGGTATCATGGGTTTTCTGTATTTTAGACAACTTTCACTTAAAATGATCCCATTAGATTCTAGCCTCCAACCCCAGATATTAAGCTCACATAAACATCTTTGTGAAAATTTACAGGTGACTGGGTACCTATTGTCAGTAAAATACCAGCTTCTTGTTTCAGTTCTAGAAGTGCTCCAAAATAAGTGGTCATTAGAAGTTTCTATGCCCATTCTGTTAGTTATACTATAAAAACATATATTTGACTCATGCCAGGAAACTAGGTAAACTTAACTGCAGATCTCCACCTCTCCCTCTGTTTCTCCAGACAAAATCCCTTATTGTGCCAGTCTTTCTTTCCCCATGCCCTGCTCCTGTCTCCTGTGGACCCACAGATTCTCTCCTCCTGGCCTTCCTTCCCCACTTGTTGCTTTATCCCAACCTACAACTCCAGCAATATTAACCCAAAGACCAGTTCTGCCAGAGAAACAAATAGGCTGACTGGATATTCACCCCCCACCTCTTCTGCTCCACCAGTTCCAAGTGCCTCAGACTCAATCCCAGGTCCACATGCAATAGAGGACTAAGATCCAAAGTACATAAACAAGTCAGTAAATTTGATGTTAAAAACCAAAATAATCCAATTAAAAATAGAGTACAGATATAAATAGAAAACTGTCAATAGAGGAAATTCAAATGGTTGAAAAACACTTAAAGCAATGCTCAACATTCTTAGCCTCAAGGAAATGCAAATCAAAATGACTTTTGGATTCCATTTTATATATTAGAATGACTAACATCAATAACAAAAGTGACTGCCCATGCTGGTGGAGATATAGTGCAAGGAGAACACTCATCCATTGCTGGTGAGAGTTTGAAGTTGTACAGCCACTATGGAAATCGATATGGCAGTTCTTCAGAAAATTAGGAATTGATCTACCTCAAGGTTCAGCTACGCCACTCTTAGTCATATACCTAAAAGACACTCCATCCTACCACAAGAACACTTGCTTGACTATGTTCACTGTTGCTTTTTTTCATAATATCCAGAAACTGGAAACAACCTAGATGTCCATCAACAGAAGAATGAATAAAGAAATTATGATACATCTACACATTGTAGTACTACTCAGCTCTTAAAATATGACATCATGAAACTTCCAAGCCAATTGATAAAACTAGAAAAAGTCATCCTGAGAGATGTCACCCAGACCCAGAAAGATAAATATGGCATGTATTCAATGGTATGTGGTTATTTGGTATAAAATAAATTATAATCAAACTATAACTCATAGTCTCATAAAGGACCAGTTTAGAAGAAGGGACTAGGAGGATCATACGGATCTACTTGGGAAAAGAAAACAGAATAGAACAGATTATGGGTGGAGTCGGGATGTGTGTTTAGGGGTTGGCACTGGGAATGGGAGGTTCAAATGGGGAGGAAGAGAGGATATGAGGTTGAGGGAGAGGATGTGTGGAGAGACAGCTTGAGTTGAGGGACATTTAAGAGGTCATATGAAAACCTAATACAGTGGAAACTCCCTATAATATTGTGAAGGCAATCCTAATGGAGCCTCCAACTAATGAGGGACACAGAGTTCCAACTGAACATCCATCACCAGAACTTCCAGTACAGGGTGTGGGTTACATCCAATTGAGTTGTTGGCCAAATCATGGAAATCCACAAACAACCTGAGCAGTAACCAAGATAATGAGTTCCTATCTGCAAATGAACAGCAAAGCACCATTGCTTAACATAATACCCACACAATTCACAGAACATGGAGCGGTAGTGCCTGTGCCTACATAGAACCTCTACCTCCATCTTCTAGTGTCTTTGGTAGGGGAAAATATTCTGCAGATCCGTAAGAGATGGTAAACACCACTCAGCCATGAAACCTTTGATCCACAATCATTTCTGCCTATGAAATATACTAGGACAGTAGTTTCACAGTGTAGGGCATAAGGGACCATGCTATCAAACAGACATAAGAATTGGCAAAGTTGAGTGAGCTCAGACTCCAGGAATTACAGAGATATGAGACAGGTAGCAGTGGAGCCTCTCTCTAACTGTATGTGTACCTGCTTTGGAACATAACCATGATACCCCACTGAGAGGACCATGCAAATGCATATGGCCAGAGGAAAATTCGCCTGTGTTTGGTATTTATATTGTATGTTAGTTGACAGTAACATTGGCTCTTAGGAAAACTGATATAGAAAGTCTAACTCTAAAAATAATTTAGGCCTCACAGCCCCTATCCAGTTCATTCATTTCTGAAAATCAAGGTCTTTAATCTAAAAGAATCTAAAAGAAAACTATATTAAATCCAATGACTCTCGAAATGAGCTCTTGTTAGTAGTTATCAGAAGTTATAAGTCTCACAAATTTCTTGACAAGTGATACTGAAATATAAGGAGGCTTCTACCTTTTATGGAATCAATTTTTGACTAGAAATTTGTTCTGTTATAGAGGTTTAGAGAGGAGCATAAATTAGCTCAGTTCAGTGAGCATCTCTCAAGCCTGCCCTCAAAGATCACCTCATCTTCTTATTTTCATCTTCCTCATTCAACCAGAGTTCATTAAAAATGACAGATCTGAATGTCAGTACATTCAGATATAATTGGGATGCCTAACTGACTGCAACAGCATTAACATGAATGGACTGTTGCTAGTATTTTATGAGCATGTGCAGCGCAAAAGGACAAGGTTGGATTCAGCATCTCACCTTCTCACCCTGTCAGGCAAGCACTTCTTACCTGTCACCTGGTCGTGCATACTTTTTAGTAAATTTTTACTCACTATAAGTTACATGTTCTGTGTCACTTTGCTGTGGTAGCACCAGTAACCTAAAATAGAGTAAAACACAATGGTGTGGCACTTTATAGATTAATTAAGGAAAGATCACTTCTTCTACCTGGGATATTTTTCCTCTCTCTTCCATCAGTCTCTGTCACATGACAACTCACATAGAAGAGATTTATTGGAGTTATGTAGCAGCCTATTTGGCAAGTAAATGTGGTCTATAGATCAGATCTACTGAGAAACAAATCTTGCTAACAATTACTCATAAGAATTTGCAAGAATTTCTGCTAATATCTAGCTGATTATGACTACACCTTGAGATCTTAAATCTAAACTAGCCAGTAAGTTCCTCCCAACCCCTTGTATGTCTCACAGGAGCTACCATGTAATAAAACTGCTTAGTTTCGATAAACTTAATTTTATTTGTCACATGAAAACAGGAAACTGGTAACTATCTAACAGGCTATTTGTACAGACAACTGAACCAAATGGACAATAACTCCAGTCCATCACCATAAGGTATATGAATAACTGGAAAATAACTAAAGAAATGGTGGGCAGATCTGAAAGGGAAGACAAGGTAATAGCTTAGCCTTATAAACACTATTCTCAAAGTGCTTGCATTTGAAAGATCAGCCTTAAGTATTAGCAGAAGTGAAGACAATCTTCTCACATATTATGCAAGAGGAGTGTCTTGACTACAGGAGAGCCAACTCTGTCATGACTGCAGTCTCTTTCTAGGTTTCAATTAAAGGTACGATTGCTGACTCTTACACCTGCTGCTGGCACTATGGGACACCATGATGTAATCCTCACCAAAACCTACAGAGTGAGAGAGGAATAACATCTTTTCTTCATAAAATTACTGTGCTACAAGTATATACTCTAACAAAAATGTACTGTACACTATATAATAGCATTTCTTTTGTCAAAATACTACAATAATAAAATATTATAATAGAGTAAAATAAAATTACCTCATTAGAAGTAGCCGACTGGCACAGCAGAAGTGTGCCGAGCTCATAAAATTATCTCATTGAAATTGTTTTCTAAAACTTGTAACAACAATAATAATGCTAAGATTAAAGCATTTTGGAAATGGTAACTTACATAAATGTTAGAAATTTTCTATAGATTAATTCAATACCCTGAGACCTAATGCTTGAATTTCCAGAATATTTCTTAAATATTGATTTTTTATTTCCTTTTTCTAAATGGACATTGAAAACCCATAATTAAAAGTTTTCTCACCATACAAAGTTTTTGATTTTTAAATAATCACCCATTGCCCTCATTCTAAAATAATAATGCTTACTTAGAATATTCCTACTGGTGTATGTAGTGATTGTAACCTTGCTTAATGCACAAATATTTAAATCTGTTCATAAAATTTGGTCTTTTGGACAAATAAATAATGCATAATATTGTAAGACTATGATAATTAAAATTAAAAATTAGTTACTGAGTTTTCTTCAAAGGATAAAAAAGCCAAATATTTTCCAACAACTGAAAGAAATAAAATGACCATGACCATAAACTCCTAGGATTCAATGAACTTTCTCAAATCACCTGAGAGAACTTCCATGTGGACTTCGAAAATTTTTGATGATACTCATCTTCAGCATTACGGATGATCATGTACCCAAATAACTAATACTTCCCATATTTTTGTTTCTAAATACTTTTGTGATTAGATTTTTAGCATTGTTTGTGGTATCTAATATTTAACCTCCTTTATTTCTAAGTGATGGAATGATACTAATCTTAGATTCAATGAAATTGCAAATGGAGATATCACATCCTTTTGTTTGATCATGCCTTCTTGTTACAGCAGGTTGCTTACCTTAAATCCTGTTTGAAAGTTTCAATTTTTTTCATAGTTTTTTTAAATACACACACATTCTCTCTCTCTCTCTCTCTCTCTCTCTCTCTCTCTCTCTCCTTCTTCTTCTTATTCTTATTCTTCTTCTCTTCTCTTTCTCTCTTCTCTCTCTTTCTCTCTGTTTTTCTCTCTCTCATTATTCAAC